TAGAATCGCCCATTCATTTTCAAAACTATTGAAAACTCCTGAGTAATCTCTATTTCACATTGAAACAATGGATGTTTAAATAGTAATGCAAACAACATTTCGCGGTCACTCACAAAAAACATACGGGTCTAAGCGAACATATTTTTTCTAATTTCGTATGTCAACATATGGTTCAGTTCCGCTTAGGGCACAAATCATCAAGCCTATCCCCTACTCTCGACAAGAAATTCTCATAAAGAGTGTCAGCAGTCATTTGAAGGCTTGAACCTCGAACTATCCGGATACGTAACCGTTGTTTTGAAGAAACCCTTTTATGGCGCTGGAGTTTCAAAACAAGAGTATTTCTCACACTCACACATTTCTCGTCGTACAGAACTCTTTCTCTAGACTGTTAGTAATCAGTTGATAGCGTAAAATTCACTGATTCCAACACTGTGCCTATATCCTGAAAAGACTGTCTATCTGTAGTACAGCAGGGAAATAAGTTGAGTTCACATACGCCACCAAGATGGTTTTTAGCCAATTTACGGGTCGCTGGGTGATGCGGCAAGTGATGTGGCAAAGTGGTGTGACTTGATGATCGGTCGATTTTCGAACATATGAACGTGTAGAAAAATTCTCGTAGCATCTTAATGTTTTCGAGTCACTGTTGAAAGCAATCAGAAGGTCTTGGCCTCCTGAAACCCATCAAAGTGTCCATAACAATATTTGATTCATCCGTATTCATGACAAAATGAGCTCTTTTTGTGGAGAGTCATTGCATTTTTTCGGATTTCAATTTGCAAAAACACATAAGATCATTTCGATATATTTTCACATTTTTTGCAAAAGCTTTGCTTCACACGAAGCCCAAATCGCTATCTTATTTTTTTTTCTAGAAGATGCATCATTACAACGTCTACTGCTCGTTTTTTGCTTGTAATCTGATAAATCCACTTTTCGCCAGTGATGAAATAACGTTTATGGTCTCGATGGGAGAGTACGGTAGTACAGGATCTAATATTAGTTACAGTCGGAACTCTGTACTTGGGGTACGCTTGCGCTTCTTATACCTTCGTAAATAGATTGTGAGATGTTAAATCCAACATTTTTAGTTCTTATTCCTTATTACTCTTCTTGTTTTACTTTTCTATTTTATCGTCTCAAGGCAATCTCGATCATTATTCTAGCGATGAATTTTAGGCTCTTCCCGACCACGACGATAAAAAATACTTCTCCATGCCATGGGGAAACCACAAACCGATGGCCGATGTTCCTAGTCTTTGGGAAGATGTTGACGCTCGTATAGAAAGGAGTAATGCAATCAATAAAGTACCTTCAGTTATTTTCCTATCAACTTAGTTAGTTATGAAACATATTTGTAATCAAAAATGCATTAAATGGATACTAGAGTGGCTGTGACAGCCACTAGTATGACACGATGTTCTATGATAGCCTTCAAGTTTCATTGAAAAGATTTGAAATTATTTCTAAAGCAAATGTGTTCAATGGGCAACGATTTCGGCGTTAATCAGTCCCTCAAGGGGTGTGCACTTTTGTCTTCACCTATCATTGCTTGAGATAATTAAATGCTTATCTGTTCCTCACAGTGACTCGCGATGGCCTACCAATGTGTCAGTGGATCTTCCCAGACAAGTATGATGGCAAATGGCTGACTTCGAATCTTGAGCGCGCATCGAGCCATCGACCATCGATTGAGCGATCGTGTGCGTGTCGCAGAGCACCTGAAACCACTGCGCCACACGCAATGAAACGCACATTGCTCATTGATCAAAGATGCTGTGCGTCGCACATATGGTCGATGGTTCATTTCGCGCTATGGCTCATCAAGGCATCCATCCCTCTGAGGTCAGTAAATTCGTATCATACTTGTTTGGGAGGATAGGAGCATTGACGTGATACGTCGGTAGGCGACCCGCGTCATTGCAATGACCAGATATGAGTTCTTTCTTAGCAAAAAAAATCAAAATTCAGCAATGATTAACGCTAAGAGCTTTGTCAAGCTACATGTATTTAATTGATAGGTGGCGATAATGCTAAACGAGTTATTGAAAGAGTCGAAGCGTCTTAGCCGCAATAAAAACGACCAGGTGGCATCGTTGGCGATGGAGGCTCTAGAGCACATGCAGTGCATGCTTGACAGATTGCAGGAACACCACAGGTATGCAAGTGAAATGTAATCTTTGATCACGTTTCTGCATTTTCGGGTTTTGAAGATCCAAGCTGTAAAATCGTGCTGGCGAAATCGTCACTAATAGCATATCTGAGTTAGTGTGAACATCGTGATCCTTAATATGGCGACTATCAACTTTGTGAAGTACTTCACCGAAAAGCTGTTTTATCTGAGACGGGAAAACGAATAGCATCTGTTCCTCAATTCTTATATTTCTTTTCTATATTCTTTCTTATATTTCTTTGAATGCCAAAAATTGACAAGGATTCTGAAATCGAACCCTTCGTTAATGGAATCTGCCGCACGTTTTCGCATAGATTCTCACTGAAGCACTTTTGAGGGCGAAGTTCATAACCACTGAGTTGGACGGCTCTTGCCATAGGACAAGGAGAATGACAATAGAAAAAGTAAGTCGTTTTCCTTTTCTTGGTAGAATTAGGAATAAATCATGCTCAATTAGGTCTGCACTCTCAGAGCAGTCAGTAGTTTAAACGTAATTCAGATCTTGAAAGAAATTGATGGATTTAAATTCGATGAATCGCATAGATTTGATGTAATGGGGGAGAAGGTCATACGATTTTTACAAAGAATGAAGGAAAATATCGAAAAATTAGGAAGAGATTGTCAAGTAGGTTCCTTGTGTTCAGAATTCTGCCAATTATAAACTCACAAAGTTGGTTTCGACTAAAAATTTATATCTGTCGTCCGTCTTTACGAGTAACAGTGAAACGAAAATCTCTTCATAGCTGAACGTGACTAAGAAGACATGGGCAAACGTTCTGCCACATTTGTTGAAGCAGTCATTTCAGATATCACTGCCCGATATTATCATCAAGATGTTAGCGAATAACAGGGTGGTCGGCTATAGTAAGGTTCCAGCAAGAGAGGTACGTTTCGATGAATGTGATCAAAGTGAGGCTTGACATAGAATTACTCAGTGAAGCTGCTATTTCTCTTTCAACTTCGCTCAACCTGATACCAGTGTTCGAGTTCGAAGTAGAAGATGATGAGAAAAAAAGACATTCACGTATAACTCATACAGTAATACCTTGACTATGTCACGAACGTACGGACCTATTTTGGGCCTGCACTAAAGAACAGTCATTCGAATTTCGCCCCTCAAAGATGCCTTCTTCTGACATGTAATTTCTCTTTCCGGTAGTTTTCCGTTAGACAGCACGAGATGAAAGAACGATCACTCCCGCTGGACAAGAACTTTTTATCAGAATGTTAGCTAGCAGTTACTGAAAAACTTGAAAAATATTGAAAAAAAAAACTTGATAGACCACGCATGTCTTCATCGAGTACGACTATTGAGTTGGAGACTTATCTGAGAGGTTCAAAATACTGTTTTGATATGTGGATGACTCTTCATGAGCTGTTTCATAAGTTATGTACTCTTCAATCATTCTAACGATATTTAGTGGCATCATATGCATGGAGCAACTATGATGGATTGAACAGCTCGAACGTGTTGCCTTTTTACTTTCACTTTGATTTAAATGATCCTTCTCGCAGTTTTTCACTGTGCGGATCCCACTAGTTCTAGCTCTTAAATCGTTTTTTGTCTTCTTCCTAAGCGTAGTGATACTGGATACTGGTGGAGCGCGTCTCTTTGCAAACTCAAGTATAGCCTTTCTGTGGCGTTCCATATCGCATCCGTTGCTGGCTGGCGAGTGTTGAGGTTGGAAATCGAACCCTGCCGCCGCCGCGACGATCATCATAACCACTAGGCCACATCCCCTTCCCTATTATCTTTCATTGAACGGTATATTGATTAATCGTGGTTGAAGCTGTCGAATGTAACTACACATTTTATCAGACACAATAGTATGTTTCTTTTTTAGTGATAATTTTTCAGCAGTTAAAACTGCTCATCTCCCTATACTGTCGTACCTTGCCATCGTTATGGTAAACGTCAAATGCAAAGTTTGCATTTCGGCAGTAGCCCAGTAAAGGAAATGTGCTAAATCTAGTACTAGGTGGACTGCGGGAAAGACGATAAGTGGAAATGCAGGAAATGAAAAAGTGCTGGTATTCCCATTACGATGCAGATGGAGCAATTGATCCTCCAAGCTTTTAAGTTGGATGTGGTGGAGATTCAATAATTTTTATTGTGTGGTCCCTGAATTGTCTCAAGCAGTGATCCGATCGATGTCCAAAGATGGTTTTATCGTCCTTAGCGGCGCACTAACCTTTGTGCTGTCACGCATTGGAATTCCAAGTTGCAGCGGCTTTTACCCTTTGAAGGGGCTCGTTGTACTTCCGGGTTTGCGCGCTGAACTTTAGACTGCGTCATCGTTTGATCCGGTGCCAACTTGCGTCTTGTAACGAAAAGAGCACAAAGTTCAAATCCTTTATATGGATTATACCAAACAACCTATATACATACATTACTATAATAATAACATAATAATAATGTGTACATGATTGCGACATATCGTTATGTGAACATATGCTTAAGTGAATGTGTGCGAGTAAGTGGATATAATCAATGAGATGTATCGTTGTTTGACGTATTATGAATCAAACGCAATACTTTTTATTTACCGCTTCTAGCGGTGTTATAATGTTTCAAATAGATACCCACTGATGTAGAGTGATGTGCAAAAATTCCATTCCAAAATTTGTGCAAAAATCACATTTGAAACATCATAACACCGCTAGAAGCGGTCAAATAAAATGTATTTCGTTTGATTTTTCGTACACAACATCTGTCAGCGTGACTGGGTTTAATGCCGAGATCGACTACCCGGTCCAGGCCGTTGACGGCTGGCAGCTGACAGATAGATGCGTTGTAGCCTAGAAAGAGTGGTGTGCAAAATAGGTGCCAGTAGTGTAACGGATAGAGCACTCATTTTCGGAAAGGGTGAGGTGCGGGTTCGAGTCCCGCCCGTCACGAAAGTTCTGTATATCACTCTACATCAATGAATATCATGAATGTTGTAATTGACGGAACATGACTAGCCGGCGGAGCCCGTTTGGGTTGCTATGTTCGCCCCGGAGTACAAGCACCGGCGGCGGGATTCAGTGGATGAGTATATTGTGATAACAGTGGCGCCACGACTGATTGTATATGGACAGAATACTTGAACCACGGTGATAGGCCGAGCATAACCTAAGTGAGTTTGTTTCACCACGTAGGTGATATGATATGTTCCGCTCACAATTCTATTGAGTTCACCTGTATGAACCAGCCCTATGATAGCAATTAGATACACGACAACATGTGTGAAGAGAGCAATAGTGGGTCGATAACGATTTGAGATGAGGTGGTCCGGGTGAAGTCAAACGACCGTTCGGATGATGCTTGGCAGTCGAAGACTGTTGGGGTTGGCGGCACCCGGCTCCCGCCCTCGCCACTTGGACCATTTTGTGTCTAAGGTCATTGAACCTCTGCGATGCCATTTGCTCTCTAAGGTCATGGACCATCTGCGTTGCCTGAATTATCATTTAATTCCAGAACAGATGGCAAAGCTCTCTTGGGAGGTTTGCTAGACTATGTGTATATATATCACCTGTATCACCTGTCGTCCCGTTGATCGTCGAGTGACTCGAGCGGGTACCAGCAACTCTTCCATTTTTCCCTATCGCGTGCAAGAGTAGCCCAGTGGGTCCTCCTTGCTCTAGGAATTCGCTGAGCATCATATCTTTCTTCCATCGCTTTCGTGAAGAAATCGGACCAACGGGTCAGTGGTCTTCCTTTAGAGCGCTTGACGTCCCGAGGAATCCAGTCGGTAACGGCTCTCGTCCATCGGTTGTCGTTGAAGCGCATCACGTGTCCGGCCCACCTTATTTTCGATATCCTGGCGTGTAGAACGGCGTCTCTGATTTTCGATCGTTGACGTAGGTCGGAAGTTCGGATCCTTTGTCTCATTTGCGAAATACGAGATACTCCTAGCATCGACCTTTCGACTGCGCGTTCGATAACGGCAAGTGATCTTTCATCCTGCTTACGTAGCGACCAGGTTTCTGCTGCATACGTTAGGGCAGGGATAATTGTCGAGTCGAAAAGGTGGGCACGGAGTCGGATGTTCTTTGTCCTCTTCACTACATCTTCGATGCTCTTAAACGTTCCCCAAGCCGCTCGTTTCCTCCTGCTCAACTCTGGGGCTAGGTCGTTCATCATGTTGATTTCACGACCTAGATAGATGTAACTGGAGCATTCGGAAATTGTCGTTCCGTTGAGCGTGAATGGGGCATTAGAAACCCATCCGTTCCTCATGAACATTGTTTTCGTTAGATTCAGTTGAAGACCGATCTTTCCACAGGCGTTGTCGAAATCAGTCAACATTCGTTCCGCTTGGCTGATGTTTGGTGTTATGAGAACGATATCGTCAGCAAAGCGAAGATGGTTTAATTGTCGACCGTCAATTTTCACTCCCATTTCGTCCCATTCTAATGTTCGCATGACGTTTTGCAGGGTGGCAGTGAATAGTTTTGGCGATATTGTATCGCCTTGTCGAACCCCTCTTCTTACGTCAATGGTGATATTATTGTAGAATGGAGATATTCTGGTCGTGAAATCTTTATAAAGCTCACGAAGGATCATTATGTACCGAGTAGGGACGCCCTGGTTATCCAGAGCCTCTATAACCGCTTCTGTTTCCACTGAGTCAAAGGCTTTCTTCAGATCGATAAAAGTGAGACAGAGTGGTTGTTTGTACTCTCGCGAAACTTCAATGAGTCTTGTGATCGTGTGGATGTGGTCCATGGTACTAAATCCTTTTCTGAACCCTGCTTGTTCGCATGGCTGTCCTTCGTCCAGTGTTCTGTCAATCCTGTTCAGGATGACTCGAGTAAAGAGTTTATAGACAACGGACAGCAAGCAGATTGGGCGATAATTGCCTATGTCGTGAAGGTCTCCCTTTTTGAACAACAATACGGTCTTGCTGGTTTTCCATTGAATAGGGACCTTGCATTCTGACAGGTAGCGAGTGAAGAGCCGAGCCAGGGTGTTGATGAGAACTGGCGGTAGGTTCTTCAGGTGTTCTGGTCTAATCCTGTCTGGACCGGGTGTTGTTCTGTTTTTCACCGACGATATAGCATGTCGGATTTCGGAAGGAAGGACCGGTGGAACGACATATTCGTCCTCTTTCAATTTATATGACGGTAAGAGAACATGGCTAGCGAAGAGATCCGAGTAGTACTGGTGGATGATTTTCTCCATAGCCCTTCTGGAAGCTGTAAGTGTCCCGTCAGGGTATCGGAGTGCAATCATCTTGGTCTTATAGTTGGCGAAGCCTCGCTGGGCTTTGCGAATGCTCTTCCCAGCTTCTGCAGCTTCTGCCATAACTGCTGCTCTTCTCTCTTTAAGGTCTTCTTTTATCGCTTCTCTGCATCGTTTCGCAAGTTCGGACGTAAGGTTTCGGTTGCCTGCGGCTCGTGCGATTCCACGTTGACGTATCAGCTCGAGTGTCTGCGGAGACAAGCGTCTCTTCGTGACCTTAGGACTTTCGGCTTTTTTAGCGCCAACGTGAAGATATTCAACGAGTCGATCGTATTCTTCGTCGATGTTGTCGACAACGGTATCTTCCCAAGAGCCGACTAATGATTTGAATTCATCCCAGTTTATAATAGTTCTGGGACTTCGTTGTTTGTATTTAGCGGCTTTCTCTCCTCTCCTCGAAAATCGGAACGTTGCGCGAAGGAGGCGATGGTCTGATCCCGTGTAGAACTTGGGAACAACAGCGACGTCGGTCAGGCAAAACCTTCGATTTACTATGATGTGATCTATTTCGTTATGGTACTCTCCATTGGGAGACTCCCACGTCCATCGCTGGGAGAGAGGCTTTTGGAATTGCGAGTTACCATGGATGGTTTGGGTCGTCATGATAAACTCAGATAGCCTCTCACCCTGTTCATTCCATTCTAGTCCGTGGGTCCCTATGTGACATTCTTCAGACGTTCTTCTAGGTCCAATTTTTGCGTTAAAATCTCCGACAATGACCTTGAAGAATGTATGATCTTCTCTGAAGAATTTTTCGAGGTCCATATAGAACGCTTCGACTTCGTCTTCGTCATAGCTTGATGTTGGTGCGTAAGCAACGAAGATGGTCAAAGCTGGCATAGAACCACATCGTTTCAACCGTAATCGTCCGATGCGGGTTGTTAGTTGTTCGAACGAATCAATGTTCACGGTCAAATTCGATTTAACGAGGACGCCAACGCCACCGACACCTTTGCGATCGCATGTTCCAAGGAACAGTTCTTCTCCGGTGTCATAGACAGCGTGAAAAGGATGGCGCCTTCTCGTCTCAGCCAGGCCAATGACATCGTACCTTATTCTTCTTGCTTGAATCAACAGATCTTCTACAGCGGATTGTTGAGCAAGGGTTCTTGCATTGTAGGTACAGATCGTCATTTTAGTCCGTTTCGATCTTGGCAGCCTAGTTCGGCCCTGAGATTTTAGCAGCCTCTCCGTACTCGTCCTACCTGGCGCTGCCGTACCAGGGGCTCTTTCGGGGTCAGGGGAATGAGGCCCATATTTGTTACTGTTTTTGGCATTTTTAATACCCAACGTGTAGCTTGCCAGGCTCTAAACGTGGGGGCTGGGTACTCACGAGTAGCTTGCCAGTCTCTCTCGGAGGAGCGGGAGGAGCTTATTTGTTGGAGGCGACTCCTAACCGCCTCCCATGTACTTCCCAGCCGCTTGATTGCAGGCTTTTGGCCGACTTGACTCGTAGAAATAGAGTTTTGTCAAGTCGGCACTGCAGAAGCAGGGAGCTCGTCCCCTGAATCCACCTGCGTCTCTGGGAAGCACACGGTCGCTTTTGGTTCGCGTTTTATTCCCCTATCCACCACCTGGGGACGCGCCACGTGCCCTCGCGACTAACCGGGCGGGATCCCTCAAAGAGGGAGGTCCGTGGATGTGTATATATATATATGTATATATATATATATGTATATATATGTATATATATGAATATATATAGATGATCAGTGAGGATGTATAAAGGTGAAATCAGTTTTCAGTTCCAGATTTTCTTCTCAGAAAACGAAGCCATTTGTGGAGAATGGTGTGGACAAATGCGAGCGCTGGCTATGGTATGGCCGACGATGGCTGAACGGAAAAGTCGTCAAGAAAACGTCGGTGCAGCATTTTCCTACCATAAATGACTTTTGTAGATCTTTCTTTTCTGCAGCGCAAACGTAAAGATTCATTGAAAGTTCAAAAATAGAGATTACATAGATAGAATCATCAGTCCATTGGCTACAACACGAAGATCCTGCCAGCCTGGGCTCGCCGCTCGCGATCAGAAGTCCGTACTGCTGAGTGGTTAGTGATGCCGCGCGCGCGGAGGCAAGATTGGTGGCGTGTTCCTATCGTATCCAATAGGTTAAAGTAAACCTTATTGACTAAGCATACAGATCAGCATGAAACAATTCACTTGTGATACGCTGTATGCCTATGTTAAAAATGTCAAAATGGAGCCCAATTATAGCATCGAATTTTGTAGTTTCCTGCTGTCGTGCACGTGAGGATGTGGTTTGGTAGACGTGGTTCCGAGTGGTCATGGAAGGAAGCCATAATGCCGGCAGAAATCAAGACGTATTTTGAAATATTCGGCTACCAGGCGCGTGTTTACACAGATTAGGAAGGGCTCATAAGTTGGATAAAAATGATGAGGAATGTTCATTTCTTCCGTGTAGGCGAAGACAGCGGACCATGCAGCAGCTGTATCAGGATGATCCAACTGCAGGCTTATTGATAGATTGTACAAAAAGTTCGCCCGTTTTGATTCTTAATATTATTTTTGCAATACGATAATCAAACTCTTCGTCTCATATTTGACATATCATTGAGCGATTTCCTTCGGCCACCTCAAGGACAGCTTGGCACCCAACTTCACCTTAACGGCCCAAGCGCGACTGATTCTCAGACTGCCTCTCCAGCTTTG